AGACCATTTTTTTGTTTTACCTCCGGCAGGAAGTAATAGCTGTGGTACTTTATTAAGGTTTAATAATGATAGTGAGTGTTCTCCCTTTATTCAGGACAGAATAAAACTTGTAAACATAAATTCTTTGAACTTTAATTAAAGTATTAGAAAAACGAAATTTCATTTACAAGTGCATACTTATAACTTCATTTTTAACAAAATGAATCTTATATACTATTAAATAATACAACGCCTTATTCGAGTCTTTGTATTCATAGCCTGTTACAGATTAATGCAGAGTTCTGCTTCACGACGTGCAATTAGCATGATTAGTATTACCGTAAATATTAAAAAGTAAGAAAGAAAAGAAAGTGTCTGATGACATGCATCAAATGCATGCTTCAGATGAATTATTAAACAATAAGGAAAATTTGTTTTTCTTAATTTCGTCAGATGACAACAAAGTATTCAATTAACAATAACCTCAGTAGAATCTCAAACCGTCCACTTTACAATATACCAAATCTTCAAGAAAAACCTCGATCAAAATGATTAAGATCTGTGTGTCAAGTGCATAACTATTGCAAAAAAAAAAAAAAAAAATTCAAGGGTTTACAAAAAGGCAGTAAAAACAAGATCTAATGAAATAATTTCAGTATCTATAAAGACATACAAACAAGGATTAAAACATTTTAAAAAGGAAAACTTTTTGACATTCGAATATATTGGATATAATTTTATACTTAATTACTTACTTAGATAAAAAATGTTTTAATAGAGTCGGCCTAGGGATCAATGTTAAACAAATAAACAGACTGAAATAAAGGGATATTTTGAATACGGTAGTAAAAGTTGCAGAAATTTGATGGATACCACAACACTACATCTATGCTTACTTTCAAAGAGCAGTGCACCCCCTGATGAATAGGCCGTGAGTTCGAATCTCGGCCTCGACTGACAGAAATCGATAACAAATAGGAAGCAGCTGTTCTTTTGACATGAGCTCAGCACTTTCAGGTGAAAGTATCGGATCCTTCGGATGACATCTAAAACACTGATGCCCGTCTGAAGGCAGACCTTGGCAAAGATCACTCTCTGCTCAATTGTCGTTAGTGCCAAGTAAAGGTTAGAATTTGAAGCATTCACCAGTACATGGCGACGTCTCTATATCAATGTTAAACTCTCCAATGGGACGTAAAACATCATATAACCAATAAAAGCAAATAGAAAAGTAAGCTTTTATCACACTTATTACATTCTGCGACACCGAACAAGAAAATTAGAGGTTAAACATCAATTTTGTAAAATCACATTTTTTTAAAAACATCATTGTTAATGAAATTTTATAGGAAATATATTATTATAAAATAATATATAGGTTTATTAAAATACCTACTCAGTTCTTCTAGCTGACCTCCTTAATGAGTCTATTATTTAAGAGAAACTGAAATCAACACTGAATATATAACTATTCGACTATGTTCCCTAATCGATGTCCTCGACCTTTCACCCACCAAAAAGACTTCTCTAAGTTCAATTCGCATTTCTTCTCAAAATATTGACATGAGACATCCTGAAAAAGAAGACCAGCTAACAAAACGGACATCGGACCAAGAATTGGTTTCAATCCACACGTGATCTCCCGCCTGAACCTCGACTAAAATGGAATTTGAACCGGTATGATAATAGCCACTACCATCCTCCCCTGAGTATATGGCACCTTTCTCAGAACCATTGACCATTAGAGACGTGCCACAGTGGTTACTCCCAGACGTAAGACAATTCAATGTCCAGTGAAACATGTACAGTCCATGAACAGGTGCAATAAAGATACCGTCCGTCGGATTGTAGTGGTTTCCCATGTTAGTAATGACATGAGGAAACTTGAGGAAGAATCCAGTACTGAGTCCTGATCTATCATTGGATCGGGCACTGAAAGCTACAAGCGAGATGTTGAATTTTGGAATGCCTGAAAGGAAAAGAAACAGAAAATGTTTTATGAATCCAATCCGAGATGAGGTATCATCTTATTCATTATGTACAACGCTAATAATTCTATAAAGAAAACCAAGTGAAACCAAGTATCTCAGCATGTTTCAATCTCATTCATAACTCACCCTGGTGACTAATCTTCAAAGCGCTTACATTTTCATGGTCTTTTCCAGTCAGATTCTCCCAACAGTCCTTTCCAACATGCTTACTCTTTTCTGAAGGTCAGAAATATTATTTAGATCTGAATTGTTAGTAGTTTTTTGGCTGTAAACAGAACTTAAGTACAGAAAGATTACTCCAAGTAATTGTATGTACATATACATGATGGTTGCTATAGGAACTCTAGCAAAGAAATTCATTTACCATTTTATACTTTTTTAACCTTGATTATTTGCTCTCAAAGTGGGCTGTCTTAAATAAAATCAGAGAATATGATTGGTTGGTATGCGAGTAAATGAATTTGTTACTTTTCTTGACTCTTCTCTTTTTAATCTTTACAATTATGTGTTTTTTACATTCGTTATAAAAACTAACTATAACTTAGGGCATGTTTTCTTAAGATAAATATTCACATCAAACAAGGAGGTATAAATATACATTAAGTCTAATGATTCAAACGATAAACAGTTTTTCATTCCTGATTATAAATTTTAAACTTACACAGTAGAAACGAAAAATTTTGCCGTAAAAATCACAGTAATACCCGTTTCAGAGACCTGCTATTGTGAAATCATTTTAATTCGGTATAGGAGTGATGCTCAGTATTCCTAGGTTAGCATATTTTGTTGGTTTCCTGGGACGTATACTATGAGTAACTAATATATTTAGAAGTTTCAATCAATAAATACTGAAAATGTTCTAAGGAAAGTAAATTCGTTGATAAGGGTGATTTATGAAATCCACGAACATTTGTCTCTCACAGTACCTATTAGTGTAGACCGCTCGGCTGTCTAGACAAGGGAAAAACATGTCGAGCTCGATGGAATTCACCAAGCCCCACCCCGTGCTACACTTCTAATAGACGGATTCCGAAGGTCTAGACTTCAATGTGTTTTAAAATTTGTCTTATAAAAAATCATAACAATATGTATCGTAAACAACCCTCTTATTAAATTCATGTCCAAATAACGGTAATTCTTCATTTCGTTCTCAAAGGCTTTGTGAAAATATTTTCAAGAATTCTTTTCTCTGTCTGGAGTGCGGCGATGAAAGCCACGCTGACTACTCCGTTACCATTGAGCATTGAAAATCATTCATGGTGTCCGATGATTTTGAGCGGGTCGAGATGATAAAACGCCCTGTTGATATTTCTTATATGCTTAATTTTCTGAACGTAACCACAACGTGAACAATGTTACTTTTGACGAACGAACAATCCTCAAATAAAGGAACTAAGTAATATTGTACTACAAACTTATAAGAATAAGTAAGTTAGTACTCGTTGCCCTCTGCTAAAGAAAAAAAAGAAGGTATTTTCAAGATTTTTCAGGGCTTGGTATCCCTGGGTCTAACACAGTATTACTACCTTTAATGCATATCGTGGTTCTTATATCGTGATCCCGAGATACATTTTGAAATTCGCTTCTGTTATCACCAATTAAGGGAACCACTACAAACAGTCGGATGGACTTTTTGTTGCACCTGTCCGTGGAATCTATGTATTGCACTGGGCCCCGTTCTGTTTTCTTTCCTGGGGCATTTCATTAAAAGTTTATTATACTTTGAGGGTCTCCCTGATCAGGAGAAAATTGGAATGGTTATCCCACATGATCTAAAACAGTGATTATGGAGGTACAGGCGGGGAAACATGTCTGAGTACAAACCGAGAATTGGTCCAGAGTGTTTATTGAGAGTCAATCCTCTCTTACTGGTTGTCTTCTGACAATACTCTAAAAGCTTAGCCAACATTGTATGTATTTACTGAAAATAAGAAAATATGGACATTTTGAAGAATTTTTAATATAGAAATTCATGAACTACATATAAATATACTAGAAACACACATTTTCATTTTCAGGTATGTACTTATACCTAAATTTTCTTATATCCTGTTACAGATAACTTTAGTGTATATATTTAAGTAAAGGAATTAAAGTACTTGACCTGTATGAAAATTTAACCCTAAGATGAATAATAAAACACATCGGAACTTTGTTTTCTTTATTGTCGTCAAATGACAAGTATTCAATTAGCAATAACTTATTTCTAAGTAGAATCTCAAACAGTCCACTTAACATCTTTCACATCTTCAAGATAAAAAGAACTTAGCTCAAACTGATTAAGATCTGTGTGTCATGTGCCTAATTATTGCAAAAAGGTTAGTCAAGTGTTTATAAAAAGCAGTAAAAACAAGACCAATTGACAAAATTTCAGTCTCTATAAAGCTGTAAAATGCCATTAGGTCTGTAAGTCTCAAATACCTACTTCTTTAAAAACATAAACACTACACCTTGTTTTTCCTTTTTGAAAATTAGATTGTTGACCACAAGTGTTGTACATTCTTCTTCGAAACATACTGAAAAAGCAATACATGTCCCCTACCGGGTTCACCTTTTCTCTGTAGGATGTTATTTCATAATATCCTGTTTATAAAAAAAGTGCCAACAAAATGTGGACACTTCAGTTATTACTTGTTTATGAATGAAATGTCTTTGAAATAAGTCGATCTAATGAGAGAACTCTATGATTGTCAAAATACATAAATACATGCTGTGGTTAAAACAGCTCAATTTACATGATTAAATAACAATAATATAGAAAAATCAAACTTAATCCATGGTTTGTCTAGCTGCAGAACTGAAGTTCGACGAGAGAAAATATATTGACAGACCGGAGAGCTACAGCGCCAACCATTGAAAAAAAAAACATATTTCACAGAAAAAAATATCGTTCTCGCTCGATATGCTTTTCTGTGTGGTCGCTATATCTACTGATTGACCGAATGGAAGGGCTAAATTGTTATATTATTTTCTTTAGATAAACAAACCAAATATTTTAAAAGAATAAAAGTTTTCGTCTCTCTAAGGATTTGGACATTAAACATCGAAACAAAATATGCTGTTTGAATGACATTGCGTATCTTTTATGCTAAATAAATAATTAAAGAAATGTTAATATTGAAATGCTTAATTTGCTTATGATTTATATATTAAACATCTATGTTATCAATATACAGTCAATCCACATTCAAGGCATTGTTAATCTTACCAACTATGACATCACGATTACAAACAGGAGTTGGTGCATCTGGGTTTTTGTTTTGTAAAATCCAGGTCTTTCAGAGTTTTTCAAGTTAATATTAATCAAAGAGTCATTAATCAATGTCCTCGATCTTTAATCCGCCAAGAAGACTTCTTATTATTTTCATATTCATTCTCATAAGACTGACATAAGACATCCAGAAAAAGAAGACCAGTGATAGATACGGACGTTGGACCAAGAAGTGGTTTCAATCCACACGTGATCTCCTGCTTGAACCTCGAGAATCAGCGAATTTGAACCGGTATGGTGATGATTAGCAGCATTCTCCCCTGAGTATACGTAACCTTTTCCAGAACCATTGATCATAAGAGACGTGCCACAGTGGTTACTCCCAGACGTATAACAGTTCATTGTCCAGTGAAACATGTACAGTCCATGAACAGGTGCGACGAATATTCCGTCCGTCGGATTGTAGTGGTTACCCAGATTAGTGATGGCATGAGAGAACTTGAGTATGAATCCATTACTGAGTCCTGATTTATCTTCATATCGGGCGCTAAAAGCTACGAGCGAGGTGTTGAATGTTGGAATGCCTAAAACAATGAAAACAAAAGGATGTCGTGATAACAAACAATATTCAATCTCAAAGACCATAAAACAATACAAAATAGGAGAAGAGCAAACACTTCTGGATTATTGAACACAGAGTTCTTTTAAGAATCCCCAATTTTATAAATCTAGATATATTTATTTTCATTTACTGAACAAATAATCCGTTTGTAAGAAATGGTAAAAGGAAATAAAAGATAAAAAAGAATGACATGTTTAACCCAAATCATGACTTACCCTGATGATAAATCTTCAAAGCACTGATATTTGCATGGTCTTTCCCAGTCAGAATTCTCCCAACAGTCCTTTCTAACATATCCACCCTTTTCTGAAGGTCAGAAATATTCTTTGAATCTGAATTGTTTGTAGTCTTTTGACTGTCAACAAATCTAAAGTACAGATATATAATCCCAAGTATTTGTATGTACGCAAACATGACTGATGTTAAAAGAACTTTCGAAAAATATTCCGTTTCCATTTTATACTTTTTTAACCTGTTGTGATTGGGCGAAGTGGGTTGTTAAATTGACGTCAGAGAATGTGATTGGTAGGTACAGTATGTGAGAGAAGAAAGTTGATTATGCATTCATCTACATTACCTTAAAGCTTGCATGTATTTTATATATATTATTCATACAACTACATGTTAAATATTCCGCAAGACATCTTAACAACTCAGAAAATACAAATATGACATAATTATTCCATTGATAACAAAATTATCAATAGTCAATATGCATTTTGTGAAGAAGAAAATAAAGAATGCGACCTTTTGATATATATAAAAAAATCATCAATACTCCATTCAGAGACCCAGAAAGTAAAGTGTTCCAGCTAAATGACAGGAAATCAAAGAATACAATAAATAAGTGCTGATAAATAAATGTTAATACAATCCAAATATGTTCACATATTGGTGTTTAGAGAATACCTTGATTTTTATTCCATGTGAAATAAAAAAAAAACCTCACTACGTACACATTTTGCTCATAAACATGTAATAAGCATTGATGGTATCGAAAGAGCAAATTAATGATTCAAAGTCATCTAATGATATGAATATCCTAAAGAATTACAAATGCAGCGTTCAACGGAACAAACTCTAGACATAACTTGGCATTGTCTATTTAGTTTCTGAGATACACGTGGTGTACAAATGTATAGAATTTAAATGTCATACTCTAAATGCAAGTTTTCAGCACAGACAAAATGCATACATTAAGATTTTCGTTATCAGAATTTGTTAAAAATAAATTGGGTATTCAAACCTCTTTTTTTAATCAAACAGTAAATTGAAATATTCTATGGTCGATACAATGACCTTGTAAGCAAATAAGATTTATCATTGAGTTAAGTGCTGACTGACGTTTATCATACTAATTTTAGTCCATTATCTATATACCGAATTGAAGACGGATTTTACCGTCATTACCCGATCATGCCAAGGAGCACCTGGCGGGTGTGGCAGGTTGGCAGGGGATGTTCACTCCTCCCTGGCACCTGATTCCACCGCTGATGTTTTGGAGGTCCGTGTTTGCTCTGCTCCTATTTTGTTATGTTTTACGGACCTTGGTATTGAATACTGTTCGTTATCTCCACATCCTTCCATCTAATCAACTCTATTCAAAGAACAAGGTACATTTTCTAAAGGCAAAATAAATACAGAAATGATTCATTTTGAGGTTTTCTGCATTAAGCCTAGGAATGTACTAAATTAATGACGTCTTATTTCCAGAATGGTTCTCTTTCATGCCATATTCTTTATTGATTTATCATATTCATCTACTCAACTCTTGTTAAAGCCAATTTTCAGTTGTTGTTTAGCATGTCGATAGATGTTGAATTTGTAATACACTTGTGATGTCAAACTATATTTCTTTCATTAAATGGCAGAAGGTCATGTGAATAAACCCTGGCATCAACTGACCTAAGTAATTAACAAAAAAAAAACTAGTAAAAAGTAGTCACTATTTTATATATATAAAAAAAGAAATTGTGCATCGTTCAATGGAGGAGACCTCAAAACCGAGGTCCAGTGCCACTGCATGCGTAGTAATGACACGTTGTCATAATTAATTAAATTTATCAGATGTATGTTAAAACTTTGCATTAAGGCTACTTAACCTTTTGCTCACTCACAATCTTATGGGTTTCTGATTGACAAATTATATGTGGTTTTTGGAGACCTGGTATTTCAATGTTCTTTTGGAATTTCCATGTGAACCATTTGCGCTCCAATGTTTTCAGACCAATTCTTGTTTTCAAGTGAAACAGAATTTGCCTAAAATCTTGCAGCTGCCTCCAACTTTACATAATACAAACATGAAGATTTTTTTCTTCGTCCATGAAAAATCATATTCTCCGAGGGCAACGCCGAACATTCATGCAATAAATTGTTTATAAAACTTCATATAAATAATCATTAGTAAATTGAATCTGATTGGCCGAGACAGTCATGTGACCTTCGTGTTTGCCCTGCAACAAAACGTCGTGTTTCATATCATATTTCACGAATGTGACGTCACAATGCAGCGGCTTAGATGGTTTACTACGTAGTAAGATAGTTTTTACCTTTGATTGATTGTGTCGATCCAAACGTGTAATATAAATATTTTGAAAAAAATGTTTTTATAGGTGAGGTTCAAATATTACTGGTGTGTAAATTACACTGACCTGTCACGAATGAATGTTTTTATGAAGTACGGCTAATGGTTTAACTTACAACTGTTACATATCGTTCTTTTCAAATGTTTACTTAATTCATTGGATTTTCTGTATTTATTTCCTACACTGAGCTTGATTCGGTATGATAAAGAATTCATTGCGTTCGGGAGACATGAAGATATCATCGCCCATTAAACATCATATGATTTTTTCATGGGCGAAGAAATCTTCATGTCATCCTCACTATCACGAATAAATGTACATTATTTTCCCTCAGAATTATACAATCAATCTGATTGGTTTAGTGCATGTCACGTGAGGTGTGATAATTCGTGATGTTTCCTAATTCTTTTGATTAACATTTCGTTCTTCTACAGGTGCATGTGCGTCTAAATACAGTACGTGTACGTCTCCAACCTCGGCGACCGAAAATTCGCATAATCCTACGGAATATTCGCCAAATACTCATTTCTTCCGCCCATTAGAGCCACCACACCTGGCCCAGTAGGTTCGCTGGTCTCCTTGGATTCGTTCCTGTCCATTTTGCCAGTTGTTGATTGCGTGGCTATTGCCTCGATCTGGACCTCCGTGACGGTTAGCTCGGGCGGGTTGCTCATTTACAGTCTGCTGAACCCGTCTTAACTGGCTATCCACATTTTGACCTATCAATTTAAAACAAAACTAGATTAGAGCCAAAAATGTCAAGATCCAAGAAGGATATGGAGATAACGAACAGTATTTAATCTCAAAGTCCATAAAACAATACAAAATAAGAGCAGAGCAAACACGGACCCCCAAAACATCCGAGGGGGATTAGATGCCATGGAGGCGTGGGCATCCCCTGCCGACCGGTCACACCCGCCTTGTGCTCCTTGTCATGATCAGAAAATAACCAAAATAAAAACCGTCGTCAATTCAGTGTATAAATAATGGACTAACAATTAGTATGAAAAACGTCAGTCAGCATTTGACTCAATGATAAACTGTATTTTGCTGACAAGGTCATTGTATCGACAATAGAACTTACGAAATAATGACTTTAAACGAGACTACTGTCCAAAGAAAATATTCAAGAGTTCAAGAAAATATTACCTTAACAAAATAAATTATGCTTAGAGAGTTCTCATAATCCAGGATATGAAACTAATTTCTTGAATTTTGAAGGTCAGTGTTTCATATCCATTATTAGTACTTGTTAATAATTTGTTTTAGATTGATCACATTTTGCATTTGTATTTGGCTGTTTTGTAATGGACATGTTATCTTGGTAAAGTCATAGTTTTGTCAGATGACCAAAAAACCAAAGTAAAGAACAATCTACACATTCTCATGAAGGTTTCGTTTACTTGATTTTTGTTCTTAAATTTCAAACTCGACAATTATTCATTCACATAAAGATTTTAGGTACCATCTTATTTATTATGTGCAATAATAATTCTATTAAAAAAATAAAAAACAAAACAAAAAAAAAAAAAAAAAAACAAAACCGAAAAAAAAAGAAACCACACACAGGAGAACCTCATTCATGACTTACCCTGGTGATTGATTTTCAAAGCGCTTATATCTGCGTGGTCTTCCCCAGTCAGAATTCTCCAAACAGTCCATTCCAACATGTTCACTCTTTTCTGAAGGTCAGAAATATTGTTTGTATCCGAATTGTTCGTAGTCTTTTGACTGTTAACAAAACTAAAGAACAGAAAAATTACTCCAAGTAGCTGTATACAGTGGACCTTCAGATATCCGGACGCCAGATATCCGGATGCTTCAGTATCCGGACGCTTTTCCACCGGGACAGAATTTTTAAATGTTATATTGTTTTGTTTAACTGGTGATTCAGATATCCGGACGCTTCACATATCCGGACAAATTGACTGGGAACCAAGGCGTCCGGATAAATGAGGGTCCACTGTATACATATACATGATGGCTGCTGTAGGATTTACTCTAGCAAAGAAATTCGTGTTATACCATTTAATACTTTTTCAACCTTGATTATTGCTCGAAGTGGGCTGTCTTAGATAAAAGCAGAGAATATGATTGGTTGGAATGTGCGGAATAGTATCTTAAAAATCTTTTTGGACCCTATTATTTTTAAAAGTTTACAATTACGTGTTATTTACATTCGTAATCTTATTATTCCTCAAGGCATGCTATCTAAAGGATAATATTCACATCAAACAAAGAAGTATAAATATATTATAGCTCTAATAATTCTAACGATAAACGGTTTTACATTGCTCAATACAGTTTTTAACTAACACAATAAAAAGAAACAATTTTGCTGTAAAAATCACATCAATACCCATTTCAGAGATCCAGCAGTTAAAGATATACCTGCTACTATGAAATCATTTTAATTCTAGATTGGTTGATGTTCAGTCGTGGGTAAGCATTTTTAATTGGTTCGTTTGGACGTAATTTTGTGGGTAAATAGTATATTTTAAAAGATTAAATGATTGATTGTATACTGTTTAACGTCCCTCTCCAGAATATCTCACTGATATGGAGACGTCACCATTGCCGGTGAAGGGCTGCAAATTTAGGCCCATGCTCGGCACTTACGGCTTTTGAGCAGGGAGGGATCTTTATCGTGCCATACCTGCTGTGACACGGGGCCTCGGTTTATACGGTCTCATCCGAAGGACTGCCCCATTTAGTCGCCTTTTACGACAAGCAAGGGGGTACTGAGGACCTATTCTAACCCGGATCCCCACGGGGCAGATGATTAAATGAATACGTACTGACAAATTTATTGTTTTACGGAAAGACGAAAGTAAATTCGTGGATAACGGTGATCTATGAAATCCACGAACATTTGTCTGTCATGGTGCC